GAGTTCTTCTGTGTCATCACGTTCTATTAGTTCTACAGCTTCAGTTTCGGAACTTTCACGCTTAGTAACACATACAGCTGTTCCCTCACCACAGTGCAACAGTGAAAAGGGACTTCTTTCAAACAGTGTCGCATTCCGAACGTTGTTTGAACGACATACACCGGTATTGCGGTATTTTAAAAATTCATATCATAACAAAAATAAACACCGGTATTCGGTATGAACCGGTATACCGCCCAGCACTACTTTCATTCAAAAAGACTTGGTGTTACTAGGTGTCACTTGACTTGAAATCTCTTCACAAACAATGCTCACAATTCATTTGGCTGCTCACCTTGTTTTCTTGACTTGTATGCTGCTGCTGAGCTTTTCCAACATAAACTCTCCAGTGTCATGGTTGATGATGAGAACGCAGTCTTTCTGATACGGCCTTTTGTTGCCCTTAAACACTGTCATTGGTGGAGTGGAGCCCTTGAGAGAAATTACAGTAAGTGGTCCGTAGAAAGGGTTTCATACACAAAATCTTGCGGACAATGACTCTTACTGGTATGTGAGGTAATGTGATGGTAACCTCATCTCCTTTTCCAACTTGTAATTCTCCTTCACAGGATGTATCAATAGATGCTGGTTTAAAATCATCTGTGGAAAAAAATGAATATACAGTACGGCAATTTATTTGTAATTATAATAATAAAATCCATGCATATTATTACTGACACAGGTCTAGTTCATATCGTCGATGATTTTACATAATCCACACATTTGTAACATCAAATCAACGAGCTGGCCTGCAGGACGTATATTATTTTCAGTTACTAGGCTTGCTCTTGTTTCCAAATACTGGTAAGATTCTTGAGATTAGAGGTGTGTGTGTGTGTGTGTTTGTTTAAATGAGTATGCAATTCAGTTTATTCAATTATTTTTATTAAAGCAAGTCATACATGATGGACTCACATCTGATAGTGTGAAAAGATGATTTTGGTCTCTTCTCAAAACTATCTCCGAGCTTTAACACATGCTCTTCTTTATCCAGAGGCGGGTTCGAGCTGCCGTTCATCACTGCGCGTCACATCGAAACCAGCAGCCTCACACAAAACAGCAACTTCTGCGGTGAATATCACATGTAAACAAACACAAAGAAGTTGCAGCAAAAACACTCTTGACAGATCCAAAACTTCCGGGTCACGAAAACAAAAATAACGCATTCACCAAAGAGGTTATTACGGTTTTAAAAATCAAACATTTAGTATTTTAAAGCCTAATGCATAAAATAGAATAAAAAAGCTGAGCTGTTCATATTTCGAAGTAAGCGAAAAGGTCCAAATGACGATCGAGAAATAAATCAATAAATAATAATGATTGAAATAAAGGTATTGTGAGTAAACATCATATTAAGATCGCGTGTTAGCACAATTACAGGTAAATAATTAGCAAGTTTGTTTTTCCTCATAAGCAAAAGTAGGGGATGAAAATAAGAACGAAATCCAGAGAAAAAAAAACGCTTTAAGTCGTTTGACTTCCGGTTCAGTGATGTCAGAAAACAAGTGATTAATAAATGCGTGAGCAAAATAAGATGACTGTTTTATTTAACAACCTATGATGCTATTTAAATACTATTTTACTATTTTAGTACTATTTTACTATTTTATAAAATTGAATACAAATGTTTAACACATACCCCGTAAGTTGATGGCGTGACACTAGTTCGATTACCGTAAATACACAAAACACCAAGCATCACGCATTCAGACGTTTATACACTTACACCTTCTTTAAGTGAAAAAAAATCGCATACTGTATTAATGCCTAAAAGCACATAAATAAAGAAAAAAATATCTGGTTAAGAAAAACTAAAACAGCAGGATCAAAGCGTGTTTATGTATATTTCATGGCTGCTGTGTGTCGGTTCATTACGGTAAATCGGCATGAAGTCGTTCCTGTTTGAATAGCGAACTTTGCTGAGATCTGACTTTTCTGAGCCAGTTTTAAATTTTTTTAACCAATTTATCTTGTCATTTTTTGTGAATGTTTAATGTTTGAAGTCAGTTCCTGTCAAGTTTACACTGGTGTAGTAGAGTAACCACTGGTGTTGTTCAGTTCAAAAGTCTAACACAAAGAAAGTGTCCAAGATTTTCTGACTCCGTTTTGAACAATATATATATTGATAAACACCACATTTTAATATTTTGTTATATAATGCCAATACATTTTTTTTTAAATTGTGGCTTAAGTCTCTAAATAATTGCTGGGGTCACTGTATGTAATATCCCTAAGTTATTTATTTTTTGTAGGTTGGTGCATCTCAATCAGGCACAGATTTGAAATTCATTCATATACACCAGCTAGGCTATGTTTGCTGTAAAAACTGAATCTTATTCTCATCTAAACTGCTGTAAATAACCTGTGACCCCTTCATGTTTCCCTATAGTTGAGGGGGGATGAGAATAATGTGTCCTCATTTTACACTAGATTTTGTTTTAACACAATTTTCACAAGTGTTTAGCATACCATTCAGCAAGCTCATTCACAATTATTGATTAGTACAGTTTGACAGAAGTTACTCTTATAATGTACAGTATACAGTGGCAAGGAAAGATATAAAACACATTAGAATTGGTTAGTTTTCTGCATTAAATAGTCTTAATATGTCATCTGATCTTCATCAAAGTATAGAAAAACATGATTTTTTTTCTTTTGACCAATTGATGCTGAAAATACCACCAATTCCAATGGGTTCACATACTTTAAATGCATTTAAATGTTGAGGTGAATCCCCTAAAATACCATTCGGTTTGTGCTCTGAAATGGAAATGGTTTTTGTTCTACAGTACATGTAAACTTTAACAGAAACTGATGTATTTCGGAATATCAGGATCATAATCTCGACTATGAGGAGCTGTTGGGTTGTGGTCAGTATAAGGAGAGCTATCGTGCTGACATGATCCGCTGGGGTGAGATGAAGAGACAGCAGGACTCTGGCTTCTTCTGTAGACTGGCCATCAAACATGCCACACAGCCCATCTGGGTATGAGCTCCCCCACACCCAAACAACCTGCAAGCTGGAGGTGTTAAAGGTTTAGTCTACTACACATACTTAAGCAAGCTTGACGCTTGGGATGTTTCCAGCATCTGCCGTCTCACTATATACGGGTATGAACACATGAACTTCATCTCCAGAGCTGCTCTGAGAGTCGTTTGAGAATAACTATCATAAGATAAGATACGCAGAGAAACTCGTCTTCGCTACCACCCGTAAAAATAAAAGAGTGGTTTAACTTGAAGAAATTATGGCAGACATATATCACATACTATCCATTACTCAGATAATCAGCGATTGCAGAAGGATGTCAGACGTGCAGTGGCTCCAAGAAGAGTTTCCTGATAGATGTGTCTGCGTTCGGGTGGAGGCTTCTGAGCAGACGAGATCACAGAGGGGCTGGAGATTCACCACAGGTAAAAATGCTACAGTGAAACACAATATAACAGAGTTGTGGGGATTGTGGTAATGGTGTGATTGTGTACCTGTCTAGGTGTAGACGACGCTGAGTCCGAGTGTGGTTTGGATGAGGGTGTGAAGTTTGACTGGATCATCAGGAACGATGGAGCTGATGACGTTCTGGAGGAACAGCTGGAGGGGCTACTGGCATTGATCAAGGCACGGGAGGAGGACTCGAACACACAAAATAGTATTCAACTGGATTAATAAAAGCTGCTTTTTTGCCACCTGTATCCTGCTCACTGGAGAGCTTGCAAACTCTTCTGCATTTTAATGAATGGTTCTAGTCATCATTCCAAAAAGTGTCTTATTTACTTTTTTAACAAAAAGGATCATTCTCTGCTTTGTTTTTATATATATATTTATTTATTTATTTTTTTCCTGAAGAATAATGATTAAAAAAAACTGTACTGTACTATATGTATATTTGGTGCTTTCCGTATAAAATATTAATTTATTTAATTATACAAAATTGTACTGTTTTGCAGGAGCAATATTAAAAGAATAGTTTGCCCGAAATAAAAACCCTATCATTTACTCAACCTCCAAACCCATATTTCGTTTTCATCTTTGAAACACAAGGATGAGACATTTCTGATTGTAACTGTCAAAAGCACATAAAAGTAGTCCATATGATTTGTCTGCATTATTCCAAATCATCTGAAGCCATATGATATCTCTGACAATTTAAAAATAAATAGATAAATAAATACTTTTGGCATCATCGTAAAAACTGGGACTGGGTACCTTTTTTAATATGCACAAGGGCAAATTAGAGTTAAGCTTTAAGTCAGAGTCAAAGATTTTCAATGCATCACAACCTAAATGTGGGTCAATTCCCCACGCAAACGACACAAAAAAAATTTATTTAAAGAGCAGGTCATATGGTATTTTAAAGTGTCCTAATATTGTGTTGGAGTCCCCTACAACGGGTTTAAATGCATCTAAGGTCAGAAAACATTGTAATTTTCTCAGAATATACATTTAATATTAGCCAATGATTTCGAAACGATTCGTTCCAAGCAAGTTCGGAGCAAACCCCTCCCTTCCATAAACCTACTCTGCTCTGATTGGTCAGCTGGCCAAGCCTGTTGTGATTGGCACAGAGAGGAGCAGGTTAGGGAGCGCTACCATTGACAAAGCACCTTTACATAAAACAATAATATAGCGCTCCAATCCGTTCTTATAATAATGACATAAAATACAAAACACTTATGCAAGCGAATCGTGCCCACAGCTAAAGTTTAGCTGCTAAACTGTGAACACTTAAAACAATAATGGTGGATAAGTTAGCCGAGTGCTAACGTGACTAACTGATGAAACAATACAGTTTGTAAACCAAAATATGTCTACTGTAATGTTTGAAGAACGATCCCTATAGTTGAGGGGGGATGAGAATAATGTGTCCTCATTTTACACTAGATTTTGTTTTAACACAATTTTCACAAGTGTTTAGCATACCATTCAGCAAGCTCATTCACAATTATTGATTAGTACAGTTTGACAGAAGTTACTCTTATAATGTACAGTATACAGTGGCAAGGAAAGGTATAAAACACATTAGAATTGGTTAGTTTTCTGCATTAAATAGTCTTAATATGTCATCTGATCTTCATCAAAGTATAGAAAAACATGATTTTTTTTCTTTTGACCAATTGATGCTGAAAATACCACCAATTCCAATGGGTTCACATACTTTAAATGCATTTAAATGTTGAGGTGAATCCCCTAAAATACCATTCGGTTTGTGCTCTGAAATGGAAATGGTTTTTGTTCTACAGTACATGTAAACTTTAACAGAAACTGATGTATTTCGGAATATCAGGATCATAATCTCGACTATGAGGAGCTGTTGGGTTGTGGTCAGTATAAGGAGAGCTATCGTGCTGACATGATCCGCTGGGGTGAGATGAAGAGACAGCAGGACTCTGGCTTCTTCTGTAGACTGGCCATCAAACATGCCACACAGCCCATCTGGGTATGAGCTCCCCCACACCCAAACAACCTGCAAGCTGGAGGTGTTAAAGGTTTAGTCTACTACACATACTTAAGCAAGCTTGACGCTTGGGATGTTTCCAGCATCTGCCGTCTCACTATATACGGGTATGAACACATGAACTTCATCTCCAGAGCTGCTCTGAGAGTCGTTTGAGAATAACTATCATAAGATAAGATACGCAGAGAAACTCAGATGTCTTCACTACCACCCGTAAAAATAAAAGAGTGGTTTAACTTGAAGAAATTATGGCAGACATATATCACATACTATCCATTACTCAGATAATCAGCGATTGCAGAAGGATGTCAGACGTGCAGTGGCTCCAAGAAGAGTTTCCTGATAGATGTGTCTGCGTTCGGGTGGAGGCTTCTGAGCAGACGAGATCACAGAGGGGCTGGAGATTCACCACAGGTAAAAATGCTACAGTGAAACACAATATAACAGAGTTGTGGGGATTGTGGTAATGGTGTGATTGTGTACCTGTCCAGGTGTAGACGACGCTGAGTCCGAGTGTGGTTTGGATGAGGGTGTGAAGTTTGACTGGATCATCAGGAACGATGGAGCTGATGACGTTCTGGAGGAACAGCTGGAGGGGCTACTGGCATTGATCAAGGCACGGGAGGAGGACTCGAACACACAAAATAGTATTCAACTGGATTAATAAAAGCTGCTTTTTTGCCACCTGTATCCTGCTCACTGGAGAGCTTGCAAACTCTTCTGCATTTTAATGAATGGTTCTAGTCATCATTCCAAAAAGTGTCTTATTTACTTTTTTAACAAAAAGGATCATTCTCTGCTTTGTTTTTATATATATATTTATTTATTTATTTTTTTCCTGAAGAATAATGATTAAAAAAAACTGTACTGTACTATATGTATATTTGGTGCTTTCCGTATAAAATATTAATTTATTTAATTATACAAAATTGTACTGTTTTGCAGGAGCAATATTAAAAGAATAGTTTGCCCGAAATAAAAACCCTATCATTTACTCAACCTCCAAACCCATATTTCGTTTTCATCTTTGAAACACAAGGATGAGACATTTCTGATTGTAACTGTCAAAAGCACATAAAAGTAGTCCATATGATTTGTCTGCATTATTCCAAATCATCTGAAGCCATATGATATCTCTGACAATTTAAAAATAAATAGATAAATAAATACTTTTGGCATCATCGTAAAAACTGGGACTGGGTACCTTTTTTAATATGCACAAGGGCAAATTAGAGTTAAGCTTTAAGTCAGAGTCAAAGATTTTCAATGCATCACAACCTAAATGTGGGTCAATTCCCCACGCAAACGACACAAAAAAAATTTATTTAAAGAGCAGGTCATATGGTATTTTAAAGTGTCCTAATATTGTGTTGGAGTCCCCTACAACGGGTTTAAATGCATCTAAGGTCAGAAAACATTGTAATTTTCTCAGAATATACATTTAATATTAGCCAATGATTTCGAAACGATTCGTTCCAAGCAAGTTCAGAGCAAACCCCTCCCTTCCATAAGCCCAGTGTTCAAACTATACCGTGGACTTTGGGGGAGCCCACTGGGTTTTTTAGGTCATATGGTATTTTAAAGTGTTCTAATATTGTGTTGGAGTCCCCTACAACAGGTTTAAATGCATCTAAGGTCAGAAAGCATTGTAATTTTCTCAGAATATACATTTAATATTAGAGTCATTTGCCAATGATTTCGAAACGATTCATTCCAAGCAAGTTCGGAGCAAACCCCTCCCTTCCATAAGCCTACTCTTCTCTGATTGGTCAGCTGGCCAAGCCTGTTGTGATTGGCACAGAGAGGAGCAGGTTAGGGAGCGCTACCATTGACAAAGCACCTTTACATAAAACAATAATATAGCGCTCCAATCCGTTCTTATAATAATGACATAAAATACAAAACACTTATGCAAGCGAATCGTGCCCACAGCTAAAGTTTAGCTGCTAAACTGTGAACACTTAAAACAATAATGGTGGATAAGTTAGCCGAGTGCTAACGTGACTAACTGATGAAACAATACAGTTTGTAAACCAAAATATGTCTACTGTAATGTTTGAAGAATGACAGAAAAAAGACGCTGTGTCTTAACTTTTAGTCAGAACGCAGAACAGCTGTATCACATGCGCACCAGCCTAACTAACTCGCTCGTCTCTCCCGGAAGTTGTTTTTTGATTAACAACTTTGCAGATTGTTTTCATTTAAGGATAGCTACGTTATAAACTGCAAAAGAGATATTTTTCAAAAAACCCATATGACCTGCTCTTTAAAGTTTTTTTTTTCAGTCACAAAACAATAAAATCTATTTAATGATTTCACTTTTCTTTTTTCATACATGAAGTTGTTTCTTTTGGCTTCAATGCAGCTTCATAAACATGATTTTTTAATGTAAAACCCTACAGAGGTTAAATGTATTAAAACCAGTATTAGACTTTTTTTTTTTTACTAGTAAAATATAATTGATTAAAACTTTTATCTCTGAGAAAACCTTGGTGATTGCAATCCATGCACTTGTTATGTCTCGCTTGGACTTACTGCAACTATCTTTATTATGGTATGTCCAAGTCTTCTGTCGCTCATCTTCAGTTAAAGGCAGGGTATGTGATTTTTCAAAAACACTTTAGAAAACTGATTCGGGCCGAATAGCAAAACAAACTTGTAGCCAATCAGCAATAAGGGGCGTGTCTACTCGTGATGTGGAGGAGAGAGGTTTCAGTGCATGGGACGGACATTAGCCGAGCCGAGCGACAGAAAGATAGAGATGGCGGATAAAAAAACAAAAGAGGAAAACGTCTGCGGAAAGATAAGGCAAGAAGTAGGACCCGTGTAAAATATTGGATCAGCTTTCCAGTGCTGGAGAGAACTCAAGGAGCGGAGGCCTACGATCGGACGCCGAGGTTGCTTTGTTTCTTCTCAATAGGTGAGTAACACAGTGTCTACAACAGCTAAAGTCTGCCTACACCGGACGCGATCAAACGACCGTTGAAAACCATTTGAAATGTGTGTCAGCACATCATAAATAGAACCCGGCAGCAGTTTTCTGTCGGGGATTTGTTGCGCCGCGCCGCTCACGTCCGATTTAGACACGTGTAACATTGGTTTTGCTTTGTTTCACAGAACTAATCGTTCCCTGGGTTGCGTATGTATATGTGGGGCGGAGCTATCAAAATAGGGGCAAGACCCTTTTGGGGTAGGGGCGTGTTTGTTTTGGTGATTTCAAATATCAACATTGGCTACCAGAAATCACTTACTCTGCCTTTAATGCAAAATGCTGCTGCAAAATTCCGGCGCAAATTTGACCATGTTACTCTGATTTTGAAATGTCCACATTGGTTGCCTGTGCATTTTTGAATTGAGTTCAAATTTTTTCTTTATGTTTTTAAATCTCTTAATAATCAGGCACCGAGCTATCTGTCTTAGCTACTCCATCAAATTTTTTTTTTCTTTGACTTTCAACTCAGCTTCGGTCAGCAGTGCTTGCTGTTTTTAAATGTGCTAAATAAAACAAACTTGAAAATATAATTATAGAGCCGTTCAGTCAGAATTCTTACTGGTAAATTAATTGTAGTAATTGTCTAAAATTATAAACCAATAGGAGTCAATGGAGATATTTGATTGGTAAATTATGCGTAAGTGAGCCTGTAGTTTTAACTAGTGAAAATTGCATTACAAATATCTAAAGTTTTGATTGAATTACAGAAAGTAATGCTATAGCCATCTAACATTCAGGGCAAACTGTTAGCATCTTAAAGAAGCCTGCTATGTTCTTGTCTTTTTAAATTCTACTTTAAACCTGTGGGGCACTCCCTACACTCTGACAGTCATAATACATAATACAGAAATCATATCTTTATTCAACTAAAAACGAGTTACACTTTGCCTTTGCTTACATAGATTCTGGTCCACAACGAGAAGCTAAAACGTCAGTCTTGACAGCTCTTTTTTTACTGCAGCCGCCTTTCTCTCATTTTCATTTCAAATGAGGCATTTGGCATCTCAAACAAGCTTAGATACAATCCAATAAATGTGGACACAATGTCTACCTGCCATGTGTTGCATCAGGCCAGATATCTGTGCACACCAAGTGGAACACAATGTTTTGCTGCCATGTCTTGGAGGATGTGTTTGTAAAGATGGTGTGGTCGAATCACTTGCAGCTCTCACGAGCTCTCAATGTTGTTACTTTTCAGTGTTCACAACACACTGCTCCTATAAGAACCAACCAACCATTTGAAATCGAATTCACTTCCAAATATATACTGAATGAAATATAATGTTATTGTCACTTTCTTTGTAGGGTTGAAGTGTGAGATGGCAGAACATTTGCACTTCATGTGATAGGAAAATGTTCAAATGTGACCCTGGACCACAAAACCAGTCATAAGGGTCCGTTTTTTTGAAGGTTCTTTCCATTGATGTATGGTTTGTTAGGATAGGACAATATGTGGCTGAGATACAACTATTTGAAAATCTGGAATCTGAGGGGGCAAAAAAAAAAAAAAACAAAATACTGAGAAAATCGCCTTTAAAGTTGTCCAAATGAAGTTCTTAGCAATGCATATTACTAATCAAAAATTAAGTTTTGATATATTTACAGTAGGACATTTACAAAATATCTTCATGGAACATGATCTTTACTTAATATCCTAATGATTTTTGGCATAAAAGAAAAATCAATAATTTTGACCCATACAATGTATTTTTGGCTAATGCTACAAATATACCCCAGCGACTTAAGACTGGTTTTGTGCTCCAGGGTCACAAATGTTAATATGTAGTGTAATTAAAGAAATAGAGTAAAGCCGTTATCAATGCATTTATATAGATGACAAAACATGATTACAGCCATATATTTAAACACACAGTACAGTGAAAAATGAATAAAAATGCAATGATTTAACAGCTATGTTTAAAGGGTGCAGTTCTTCCTCAAACATTTATACATAGACAATATCAACAGTGTGATATTAAACAAAGCTTTAGTGTGATTTCAAGTGGACAGAGAAGAATTTACAATCATTTTCCACTTCATTCCAATATCAACATTAAATATCTAATTTTCTTTTTTTTTAGCAGTACAGAAGAAAACCTCCACTCTTCATAACATTTATTACCATTTATAGAGGTAAACTGTGGTAGTTATAACTGCATTCAAAGTCTTTTTCAAGCTGCAGGGAATTCAATGTGCTACATTTCATCTTTACCATAATATCACTTATTTTCAGCAGAAGAAAATCATGTCCACATCCTTCCAATAATATAGCAATGGACAATAATGCAGCTAAAATTGACAATCGATATATTAAAACCGGAAGTCAGCACGAGCGCAGAATATCCTCTAAAGTTTCCTTCAGTTCCAAAAAAAAAATCAAAAATACACCTTTAACCTTTTAAATAACACAACTGTAAAATGTAGACAATGTTTGCAAAAACATTGAAAATCTTGAAAAAGACTTAAAGCAGCACTATGTAACTTTTGGCGCTCTAGCGGTTAATAAACAGAACTGCACACATCCCGCGGAAGAACATTCTAACCGGAGCTACTTCTCTAAGTTTATGTCTATGGTGATTCACGCAGGTATGTGTTACTCCGCAGCGGTGACGACCCGACCAGGCTACAATAGTCCAAATATAAGTACTTATTATAAGTGTACCGTAGTGATTCGGAATAAGACAAAAACGCGGTTTGGAAGATGAATTCATGATGTACTCGCTCATTATATACATTTTGCAAATTTTGAACACAGAAAAAGTTACATAGTGCTGCTTTAATTGTTCTATACTATGTTTCATATAAAATGCAATAACATTATTCTACAGAGTAAAGGCCAGTTCACACCAACACAAATTTGGTCAAATTTTTGCATTTTGTCTGTTCAAACCAATGCGTAAAAAATGGCAGGGCTGAACGAAAATGCTAAATCACTCTCTGAGAGAAGGAGACCCTTATAGAAAAAGCAGAAATACCCTGTACACAAAGTGTTGTGCCGTTTGAGACACCTGTTTTTCACAGAGAAGAAAGGAAATTAAAACCGTATTTACATGTTTTCAAATAGCCCTCACTATGGTGTATATCAAACAACACCAAATACAAGAATACAGAGACAGAGAAAAGATTCAGACTTCTTCCTCTGCTATTCACTTGTGTTTAGCAAAACAGTCTGTTCATGAGCACCACGGAGTCATCGTTTTATGAAACACCAACGGCTGAGAATTACATTCCCTATTCGTAAAAAAAAAAAAAAAAAACAGTTTACAGAAATACAGCTTCTGAGTTCAAAGGTGCAGCAGCTGTGCAAGAAAAGTGTGAAGATGAAAGTGGTGCGTGATGTTCTCTCTTCCTCCGCTGGTGCTGAGAGCTGTGAAACACTCTGAGTGAATTATTCTGTAAAAAAAAAAAAAAAAAGTCACATTGCCAGCATGTAAATGTTAGTGACGGATGCATTAACAGCAGTTCTTTCAAATTAAATTCAACCGCAGCAGATTTTTCGGTATTTGGCGTGGTGTGAACAAGGCCTTGAGTCATAACTGACTGCTGAGGTGAGTTTCTAGAGTTTTGGCGGAGGTTAAGGTAGGATCTTCTAGTTGAGCTGATGTTAACTGTGAGCTTCAGTCCCACACTCGCTCTCCTCTGGAATATCCTGCAGATCTGAAAACCAGACAAAGCAGTGCGTGTTTGTGAGGTATGATTCAATATGCAATATGATGGAGACCAGAGGAAAAAAATTGATGGTTAAATATGAGGGTGAATCTCATAAAAACATTTTGATCATTGTGACAAAATTAGGCAAATTTTCCCCTAAATTATATATATATATTTTTTTTTTAGTTTATACGTTTATAATTCTCATTCGTACGGTGGCCGAGAAGTGCAAAACAAATCACAATTCTGAAAACAAAATAACAAATTACAAACGCAAATGCAAGTCTAAAAAACAAAATAACAATTCAGAAAACACAACAACAATTCCGAAAACATTATAACAAGTCAAAAAACACAATGACAAATCCGAAAACAAATTAACAAGTCAGAAAACACAATGACAAATCAGACAAACCGGAAGAGGTAGGTATAGTTTGAGACAGCGCCATTGGTTTGAGAATAGATTACTTACCGCTGACTGGACGAGACATCTGTCAATCAAGTTATACAGGAAGAACAGCAGACTAGCGGTAGAAAGTTCGGAGATGGTATTAAAGTAGCTCAGTTTAAATGTATTGTATGAATTGCCCTTACTATGGAATAAAAAATATGCATACATTTACAACACTGTACTCCGTATTATATTACCTTTGAATCAGAATACAAAAAAACTAGTTAACACTATTGCGAGGGTGTTTCTACAGCATCTGGGAGTGACGTAAATGTGACAGTTCTCTCTTCTGACTGCCGTTATCAGTATCTCTCTAATTTTTTTCTTCTTTTTATAAGTCGTGAAAATACTATTGTGGGTTTTTCTTTTGCTATTTGAGCAAATGGGAATGCAAAAAAAAAAAAACAGGCAGAGGTGTGTTAAATTAGGATTTTTTTATGTGGGGCGGAGAGAATTTAAAGGGGAGAATATAAATACAAAATATTAAGAGTTGAACAGTCTTTTTATTAGGA